CCGGCGACGAAGGTGTGTTTACACCTAAATCATGTAAGTCTGAGTTTCCTGTTGAAGAAGGTGTGTGTGTGTTTTTGGCTCCATGTGTGTTTTCTTGAGTCCTGTCCTCCAGGTGAGGGCTGTGATTGCTCTCCTGTGATGAAAAAGTTATTGTGTTTTGTTTGTCTCTGTCAGTATTTTCAGCTGCTGGGGTGCATGGGTCCGCTGAGTCGGCCTGTTCTGCTTCCCCAGCTGTTGTTTTGTCCTGTATGTCAGCGGGAGTTGAAGTTTCTACAGAAATCATTTTTTGTGTTTCTCCTTCTGTGACCTGCACATCTTCCAAAATTTCACCCTGAGCTTTAGCTTCTTCCCCCCCATGCTCCTTCTCTTCCCTTGCAACAGTTTCCAGCTTCTCCGCTTCCCCACCAGACAACTCCTCCCCTCCGACACCATTGCTTCCACCCTCCTCTCTCATCCTCTCTTCTTCACCTTCCTGCTCTGTCCTCTGCTCTTCCTGTTCCCCTCCTTCTATGTCCTCCCTCTCCTCCTCCCCCCTCGCGTCTCCTCCAGGCTGTATCAGAAAGTAACTGTTATCGATACAGTCGGTGAAGGCCTGCTCCTGGTCCAGGTCGGGGTGAGACTCTTTCAGGTGACTCTTTAGTCTCTGACAGCTGACAAACTTCCCGTCACACACAGCGCACATGTACAGGAAGAGGTGCTTCCTGACATGAGCGGCGAGGGCGTCCAGCTTGGTTGCAGCATGGTCACAGAGCAGGCAGGCGAAGGGACGCAGAGGCCCGTGGATCAACAGGTGACGCTCCCGCTCGAGTTGGTTCTTGAAGCGTCGTTTACAGGTGGGACAGTGGTACAGGAGCTGTCTAAGGCCCCGACGAGTCTTTAGACTAGAAAAGATAAGTGAATTAGAAAGGCAGGTGGGTGAGTTGGTCAAAAAATAGATACAGATGAATTTTCGTGCACTGCAGGTTGTACCTCAGTTCCTGGTAGCTCTGGTGGACCTCAGGGTCTTTGAGGTTATGACGTTTCGCCATGTGCTGCAGCAAGTTCTTGACATCTGAGTATTTTTTCGCACAAAAGCTACAGTGCTGCTTCACCTTCATATGGACTCGCTCTATGTGGACCTGCATGACCAGAAACGCAGAATTACAGCAGCGACCAAAAGAACTGTAGAAAGATTTGAAAACTGAAAATCAAAAACAGAGAAAAACTGCTTCTCACAGAACGAGAATCAAAGAGTACAACCAAAACACCACAAAATCCTGGATCCTGCCCCCTGATCGAGATCCGCACCATAATTTTGTGGTAATCCATCCAGTAGTTTTTGCATAATCCTGCTAATGAACAGATAAACAAACGCAGACGAAACACAACCTTCTACGGGAAGGTAATAATAACAGTATTAAAGTAATAAAAATACCTTGAGGTGTCCTGGGCTGAGGCAGTTGAAAGAACAGTGCTGACAGCTGAACTTCTCTCCTGTGTGTTTCCTCAGGTGAACGTTCAGGTTGGCTTTGAGGGAAAGTTCAAGGTAAGTGGGCAGTTTTTTACAGATTTCCCCCCCAAAACTTTCTGGCTGTGATTTGTCTTTGTGTGTGTCAGCGAGCCTGGATTCACCTTTGATGGCTGATGCGTAGTCACAGTGAGGACACTGGAAGGGTTTCTCCTGCGTGTGCGTCCTGAGGTGAGCGACCAGCGAGTGTCTGAACTTAAAGATCTTTTTACAGAACTCACAGGTGAAGATCTTCAGCTGGCTCTGAGGTAAACTGTGAGACAAGAGAGCGACAATATATTTGACCCATTGACAGATATGACTGTTGCTCTGTCTGAAAGGTGAACAACAAGCAGCAAGCAAAACAACTTTTTAGATAATGTTTTATTTACAACAAGCAGTACTTAGCTTTTAATAGTTTTAATTACCTGCAAATGAAAATGTAACTACTGTTAAGTGTACTGTTTACTGTCAAAAAATATTCATACAGTACTTGGTATCATTTTGCTTGATGGAATATTCCTGGAAGCCTCTGCTGGCTGCTGCCTCTGTTGTTGTTGTTGTTGTGAAGGTTGGGTTGGAGCTAGAAAACAAAAGGATCCGATTATTGACTGCAGATAACACTGATGATCAAATGGCTACATTTAAACTACAAATACAACTTATGGACGATTTATTATTTTGACCATGAATCATTATTAATTTGAGGGGAGGTAAAGATGTTATATTTTATTACAGTACCTTGGCTCTTGTTCCGTGTCAGAGTTACAGTCCGAGATGGTGGCTTCACTTGAAAGGTCTTGTGACTGACTCTGGATGACTGCAGACTTCTGGGTGACCTGAAAGATTCAGTAAATAAAACTGGCTAATAATAGTGAAGCAACTAAACTTATTCAGGATTAGACAATTATAAAAAAATACTGAAAGAAAAATGCAACAATTAATCACAGAATCTCCACATTTCAGTTGAAATGCTAAATTTTTTAGGAAAGAAAGCTTTTATTTTACTTTTGGGAACCAACATCCTTGTGCCATTAAGACTATTTTGACAGAAGAAAGTACTTTCAATCAAAGTTGTTCTAAAGCTTTTTTATTGTAACTGTAAATTGACCCTTTAACATTTCTGTATATTTTTTACCTGAGGCTGAGTCTTGTCGACAGCAGGCTCTGTGTCTTCTGAACTGTCCTCTACTGGAACCATTTTAAAAACACCTGTTGAGATTAAGGTAATATAATGCATACAACATACTGCTTTCAGTAATCGAGACATTTCTTTATTTACATACATTTACAAAAGAAATACTCTTGGAGACTGACCTGGAAGTGTCTCATCTTCTTTCAGAACAACACTGATGACTGATTTCTTGTTTTCTGTTGCTGCGTCTCCTTCTTTGGATATTTGGCTTCGGCTAGTTCTCTGGGATCTGAAGTTGCCAATGTCTGCAAAGAGACAACACAAAACGCTTGGACTGTAAAAATAATCCTGAACACACCCAAACAAATCTGATTCTGGACACTAACACTGAGTATGTATGCAGGCATCTACCAGCCAATGGCACACTTCTAACCCAGACCAGACAAGAGGTAGCCATCGATTCTGCTTTCAGACTTCAGAGCAAAAGTATAAAATTAAGAAAGTATTTAAAGAAAGTATGTCCAGAGCTTGAACTTGCCTTTTTCTGGCTTCTCTGTGTTTTGCTTCTTCTTGTGTGGATCAGCTTCCGCATGGTCCAAAGTTCCAGAATCCTCAACTCCTGCTGCGACAATGTCTCTCCCTGAAAAAATTTTTTTTTAATCAGTCCAAATAATCTAAATTACCAAGTGACAGACAGCCGACCAATTTAGTGTCCTTTGTCAGAATCTGTGGCTCACCAATTTCCTCTTCATCGTCCCCCTCGTCTTCTCTTAGACATATGTGTTTGAGGATCTGTCGTCTGTTGCTGAAAGTGCGACGACAGTTTTTACAATCAAGTCCCAAAATCCTATTGTGGCTTTCACCTAGAAAAAGAACATAATAGAAGAATCAGAATGCAGAGTGATGAAACCGTTTGTCTAGCATATTTACAAAAATCGATAACAAATACAAAGGTTAGAATTTATTTTCATCATCTAGCTGCACTGATCCCAACATTGGCCATCCTGTATAACCTAGTTATCGACTGGCTCAGTTAACCCTGTATTTACCTACAGGCACGTTCATGTTAAAAGTGGGAGTCATTTATTTCAAGCAACTTCATCAGAACAATGAATAATGTATTCATTATGATATGAGAGGAAATACTGCTACCTGCTGGTAAATGCTGTTACAGCAACAGACAAAAGTGATAGTCAAGAAGATGAAATGAGAACAATATGATTAAATAACTAGAATAGGAAAGAAACCCTGAAAATAATTTTCAGATTTTTTAAAGTGGTGCAAAGGATAAACTGTAAATAAGCACAGAAATCTCTTTGGTCTCATGATGAAACTATGAAGTGATGCAGATAAAAAAGAGAGTTAAGTAATGTCTGCTTCTGCTGCCAAAGCAGGAAGAAGAGAGGAGAAGTAGTTATCGCTGATGAGGTCAATTCCACTCATCTATTAAAATATCTGTGGCTATTAATAATTTGTCACTTCATTGGAAACTATTTTGTCCCTGTCAGGATCGTTTGGAATGATGACTCTGGTTTTCCATTGATCTGATTGGTCACTAGTTGGGCTGGTTTTGGTCTGATTGTCTGCAGCATAGCACAAAGTACAAAGTACAACTAAGTGACTGTTCAGTAAATGTACTGGAGGTTACTAACCAGGTGAACAAGGCAAAAGCCAGTTACCAAAAATATTCGCTGTCCAGAAGCCCAGAGGGAAATGTGCCTTGGACCAACTAAGCTGCTGCATTAGTAAAGATGATCAGGTTTACTTTAGTGTAAATTCCATTAATTAGCTTCTTCCAGACGATAATTGTTCTATATTTTACATGACAAAGAAAGAATCACAGGATACTAAGCAATGACAACAGAACTACCTTCTATTGAGCTATTTCGTGGGTCTCCCTCCTTCTTATTTTCATCTTCTTGTCCATGAGAATTATCCACCAGAGAATGGGTGGAGTCAGTCTTGGACTTCTTCGTGGAGCCTTTTGGTCGTCCTCGCTTTCGCTTGACTGGTCTCTCTGTGGACCAAAGAGACAACAGAACTGAGGTGTTTTTTCAATGTACAAGACCAAAATCAACAATGAGACTATGCCACGAACAATTAATTTCTGATTTGCTAAAGCTTCTGTATTTGCAAAGAAATCCACTGTCCTCCCCCAAAGACTTTGAAAAAAAGATCAGCATTACATCATTCTGCATATTCTTTAATTTCTATAAACTTACTTTTCTTTTTTCTTCATTAGTTGTAAAGGCGTTGTGTTTTAATTACTGTGCACTGATTATTAAGTCAAATTCATCTTCAATTTAGTGAATGTTGTCATAATGATGATGACACAGAATGAAGTAGTTCTGGCAGTGCCTGCACCAATCTGACCTGTCAGCGCCTCTACAGGCTCTGATGCAAGGGGCTGCAGCGCAGTGATGATGTCATCAGGAGGCTCCTGCTGGGGATGCACCTGGGAGCAATGGACCAGGAGCAGAGGGCGACTGGGAGAGAAGAGGTTGCACAGCCGACACATGAACACAGAACCAGCTAGAAACACAGGGAGAAGGAAGGTGTGAGTAAAACACGTCATTCTCAAATAAGAGGGTGAGAAACATGAAAAAGATTAACATCATTTATCGTCCTCCAAAAAGGGAGCAGACTTTTATTTTTGAACTCATTGCAGCCGTGGCCCATTACTTTCTTAAATCATTGTGTCTATCAGAAATATTAACAGGCCATATTATGTAGATGAACAGTCAAATATGATATAAGAAAGTAGTATATAAGAAACCTTTCATGTTTGAGGGGCATCACATTTTTCTTTTTTACTATTGAAAATAGTTTCTCATTAATCTACCGCTGATTAATGAATTAGTTAATAGTTGCAGGTCTAATATCAATTGTTATTTTTCTCAATGTGAGTTTAAATTGTTTCTTTATATTTTCTTCAAAGTATGTGCATGTACTTCTAGTTATCTTGATGAAAGTTATTTCATTTTTTAGAACTTGTTTTTGCTGTAAAGTGGAAACACGATGAGCTAGTTTTGTAAGTGACTGTTCATATATGTCATCATGTTGTGTTTTTCACTTCATGATGATGATGATGTTTCTGTGTCCACACAATCTGAGGATGTCTTCAAACTTTCGTTTCCTCTGATCTAACGGTGGAGGAGTCAACTCCTCAGTAAACACACGTTCACAGACTCAGACCAAACTCTGCACAACACGCGTATTAAAAAGTGAAAATCATATCAACAGACTGATCAGAAAATACAGGATTCTTACAATGAATGGTTTCAAATGTAGACGCGTTTGGTTATTTTGATTCGGCCTGAGCGAAAATGCAGATCCGACATATTCGAGTTGAAGCCAAACTTCTTACCTGCTCCCTGTGCATCCATTTCTCCAGCGCATGAGCAGCAAAATAAAAGTGATTTATCAACGGGTTAGCGCCATCATACGACTAAATATAACATCGACTTTACATTTAGGGAGAATTGTGCATTACGTGTGGAGAAATTTCTGTCGAATCTGCGACACGAGTAATTCCAACCAGCGGAAGCGAATAGGATCTGGTTGTAATGTAGCTCACAGCGCCCCCTGTGGCAGGAAGACTTAATTTCGGTTGGGTGGGGAAATCCAGCATTCTCACTAGTTGAGTTTTTTCCTCAAATAGATTCACTCTAACACTGATATTGTTGAATTATTATTTAACTTATTGTGTCAAGAGGTGCCAAAATGCCGTTGTTAAGTTTTAGGGCAATCTATGGGAGTCTTACAGAGTAATAGGGTTTGTGATTTTATGTTTGATCATTTCCAGCAAAATGGAACATAATAAGATCTTAT